GTTCTCTCCCTCTTCCAAAGCAAAAGTCATGGGTACTATCTGGTCCTCAGGATCAACAGCAGCAGCCATCATCAAGGTGCCCCTATACTTGCCTATCAGGAAAGTACCATCAACAAGTACGACTGACCGACAAAACTGGAATGCATGTTCCGTTTGCGTGAACGACCAGAACACACGATAGAGGACATGCCTCAACGGGTCCCGAAAACACATCCCTCTGGTGTCTATAAACTATTTCAAGCCAGGATTGTAGTAATGCATTGCACATAAGATACGGGGCACCCTATTCTACGCTTCCTCCCAACTACCCCATCGAATCGTTAAGGCAATTTGCTTAGCACGCCAAGCCTTTCCATACTTCACATCGTACTTAACGAATCCATATATTGATTGTTGTAAAGAAGACACTGAAATATCGTTATTGTCATCAATGAGCCCCAATATACGATGGGTAAGGTAACGTGCAGTGAGTTGCTGATGATTTTCCTTCCCCCTATTTGATAGGCAAGTGTGGGGTTCGACAACTTTACTTATCCTCCAATTGCCATCACTCTCTCTCTGTCGTGCATTTAACCTCCATATACAACCATTTTTGCATATCACGTGGTACCTCAACTCCTAGCCCGAATGAGTGACGGTGTACGGCCTATGGTGGTACACAACATAGTCCTGAAGGAAGAGCTTCATCTCTGACATTGTATTGAATATCATCCCCTTCCTAAGGGTTTCTTTCTCATGGTCATACAATGATTTCCTACACATCTAGAGACCGGTGTCACAAACTGCCATATCTGTCATGCTGACATCCCTATAGTTCGGAACGCCCCTGAAAGGTACATTCATCGACCATAGTTGCTCAAGCTCAGTCGTTGTGTAAGATGGTGGTGGAACATACTGCCGCGCTTCGCTAATTCTGGCCCATGAATCATAGGGGGTATCATCTGCTGCCAAATCTGTGACTAGTCTACCATAAGCTTGGATACCATGCAAAACCCTCAGTTGGTACTGGTAATGGCATAGTATGAACTGGTACTGGTATGGCATCAATCAGTGTTGGCATAGCATCTGTACCTCCTTGGTCATCATTAGAATTGTCTGAATCACTGCTAACTACATCACCGATCCTGTCCTCCTCCTCCTACTCCTTCTCTTCCCATTCGAACTCATTCACATCGAAGTCATTGCTTATACAACCTACTGCAGTTGAATGAAACCGCTCCTGCGTCAACTGACCGTCCAAATCCATGTTATCCTGAGTTGCTTCCCCTTCGACCCCTAATTCATGTTCATTGCCTCTAAAACCATCAATTGATGGGCCGTCCTGAACACCCTACATCCTGTACCTATTCTCCACCACCACCTCAGCCATGGGCACATTAGAACCTTGGAGCACCGTAGTGTAGCGAGACCAGTGAGCAGGGTCACGCAAGGGCATGAGGACATAGTGTGCCCTAGTCTTCCCAGTATCAAACCTCCCATTCAGTGTGAAATCACCGTCAAACTTTGCATTCAAACGGACACAAAGGTCGTTGAAACCATTCCAATTCTTCTTCCATATCCTCAAACATACCATCTTCTCTCCTAACACTTCCTTCGTATAAAACTCTAACACAACAATCCATCTGCAAAAGCATTTCAAGAAACTTCATCAAGTCGTTGAAATCGTCGTACGTAATGTCCATAGTAATATTAATACCTATTCTAACTATAACTATACTAACTAATCTAATATTAACATCTATACAAGGCTAACTACAACAACTAATTAGAAAAAATTGGTTCTCAACAAATGTAAAATGTGGGGTGAATACAGGTGCAACCAAACAAGATTTGAAATAGAATTATTTTCAGACATCATACATTCCCCTCCATCTTGTAATACAGTGTATTTCAAAAAAATTAATAAGACAACTTAAGTGCCGAATGGCCCAAGAAAAAGGTGAATTGGATTCAAAATTTAAAACAACATCCTTGGCCTATTCAAGATTATAACCCTCTTTGCACCTTGGCACCTAAGTTATCTACAAAAGCACACTAGATAGTCCTTAGGGCCAAAAGTTGTCAAGACTCGTTAAACTCCACTTCACTTATGAATACCCATTTCCGCTTTGGAATGGCAAGTTTCAAGAGGCTTTTACATGTATGCCATTAAAAAAGTTTGTAATTACACACAAGCCATTAAAAAAATTGACCGCACACGAGTGCCATCGTTCTGAACTTCTTTGCTCTCCAAGCCATTCCGTCGGTGTTATGTTCGTTTTTCACCGTTCGGGAGTCCTGACAAGTGGGTCCGGTCAGTCAAAACGTCCATAATACCCCTCTCATCCCTATCCTCTCTCTCTCAAACTATGTGTCCTCCTCCAGCTTACTAAGGTAATGCAGCTGCGTGTCCTCCTCCAGCTTACTAAGGTAATGCAGCAGCTCGATGCCGGACTACGGGCCGTTACCGGTGTGTTGGAGCTTCGGGGCACGCTCACATCAAGTCCTCTAGGTCATCGAGGTAATCGCGGTTGCTCGACGCCGGATCATTTCGCTTGCAACACGCAAGACGCTGGGCGGCTAGGTTGCTCGCCATCGTTGCATACCGCTGCCAAGAATTGTCGGTCGACGCCAGTAGCTCATGGCGGTGTGGTCAATGGCGTTGTGTTGGTGAAGTTGTCGTCGCCACCACCGGTGGTGTGGGAGAAGGCTACCGTGGCGCGTTGATGAAGTCGCGGCCGCCAACGCAGCCGACGGTGCCCATGGCGAGGGAGAGTTCTGGCGGGGCGTTGACGAAGCTGCAGTTGGCGCCCATGGCAAAGGACAAGCCGCCGCCGCTGCCTGAACACCGAGTGCCGTCGTTGTGTCCATGTAGCTGAGGCCGGTTTCGGCGGAGGGGTAGTAGACAGGCACCATGGTATGGTGCGGTTCCTCAACGCTCCACATGGCCAAATTGGTCTGGGCAGCGCCCTAGCCCAGCAACTCTTGCATCTGGTGGCCAGCAGGTATGCCAAAGTAGTCGGTGCCTGCGCATTGGTGGAAGCCGTAGATATACTGCAGCGTGCCGGCATCGCGCGGCGGGTACAGTGGTCGTTCGTCGCGAGGAGGCCGTTGTTGTTGTTGCTGCTGCTGGCGGCGGCATACATGTCCGGCGTTATCTGAAGGTGGTAACCCTCCATGCCCGCACCGCCGCTGCCGTTGGTGCATTCACCGCCGAAGCCATACGCTGAAACGCCATCATTGGCCCATATGGCTGGTTGTTAATCGAAGCCGCCGCCGCCGCCGGGCGTAAACGGTAACCATCCGCGCCCCGAGAAAGCGCGCGGCGCGACCCCCTCGAGCACGATGCCGCGCGCCGACCCGTCCTCACCGTCGACCGGCGGACCAGCGCCCTCATCATCATCTCTCTCAGAGTGTCGATGCGCGGCGTCGATGGCCTCGAGCAGCCCTGTGCCTCCTCCGCCGTGGCAACGACGATCCAACGCCTTGTCCTAGGGATCGAGGCGGTGGGCCCGGCTTTGGCGCCGCGCGGGCGAAGCTTGGCCTCCTCCTTGCTTAGCCCGCCCTCGAGGTACGCCCGGTGCGTGTGCATGAAGCGCACCTCCGGTCCAAATAGCGATCTTGGGCAACACGGCGCCCTCGGTGGACTCCTACACGTCGGCGAAGCGCAGAGCATGGAGAGCTCAGACGCTTTGACCTTGAGCGTCTCCTTCCGCTTGCCGAACGTGTCGACCAGCCACCGGTCGCGTCGCGGATGAGGCCCAAACAGCAGCGCGCCATGCCACGGCCGCCTGCCGCGCCTGCGCGCCTTTTGCTTACGCGAGCTCGAGGCGCGCGGTGGGTGAGCTCGGCCCGACCGTCATGCGGATGCTGCGGCGCGAAGCTTCGGCTTCGGCCAACCAACCCCATGGCGCGCGCGCGCGGCGAGCTCTGCCGACGCGCACGCCGAGAAGAGATATCGAGTTTGAGAGAGAGAGGATAGGGATGAGAGGGGTATTATGGACGTTTTGACTAACCGGACCCACTTGTCAGGACTCCCAAACGGTGAAAAAACGAACAGAACACCGACGGAATGGCTTGGAGAGCAAAGAAGTTCAGAACGATGACACTCGTGTGCGGTCAATTTTTTTAATGGCTTATGTGTAATTACAAATTTTTTTAATGATATACATGTAAAAGCCTCAAGTTTCAAACCATAAATACCAAGCCTCCTCAACAGGAACTCCATCGAGGAAGGTCACCCAGTCCTCCACTGGAACATCTAAATGATGGTAAACCTCAAGAGTGGCCGGCGTTCAAACGTGGATGCAGAAACTGAGAGACTATGATCATGGTGGTCATCAAAAGGTTTGAGTGGAGCTTTTGGAATCGAATTGAAGCTTAGTCCTATTTCTTGTCCAAACTTGTAGTCCTTTGTCTTAGAAGGGCTGAACTTTGTTGCTTTTCTTCCTCTCTCTTGGTTGTAAGAGCTTAAGCCTCATGGCCTTAGTTTGTACTCAACTCTCAGGCCTGTGTACCGTCTTCGGATGTTAGAGGCTGAAACCTACTTCCATTATTAAAAAAAGAGAGGTGGTTAGCTGTTGGAAAAAAGATGCATATGCAGGCTGGATTATCCGCTGGCCTCCACTGCCGAGGATCATGTCGCCCGGGGTTGTTGAATTGAAAGGGCCAGTTCTGTCCCCACTCCCAAGTAATGCGCGACATCGCTATTGGATCATATTGGCCGCCCTGATTGCCCGGGATCGTCAGCTGTGACAAAATGGATCCGTGTAATCCAAGACCCAGCCTGACTGATTGATTGGTTCTATTTTTATTTTTATATGCACTGCTTGAGTGCTTTGCTTGACTTGTTTGTCTAGCAGCCTGCCAGCCTAGTTGGATAGGAGAATTTTACGTCCTCAAACTGAAAAGTCTTCATAGCTGCACACCTGCATACCAATACCAACAAAAACTTCACCTATCTCCTCATCAGTCTCCTACAAACAACTCTGCTTTCCATTGTTAAACTCAAAGCCTGAAGGATGGGGGACGCCAACGGCAGCAGTATGCACGTCGTGCTGCTGCCATGGCTGGCCTTCGGCCACATCCTCCCCTTCACGGAGCTCGCCAAGCGCATAGCTCGGCAGGGCCACCGGGTCACCCTCTTCTCCACGCCAAGAAACACCCGGCGGTTAATCCGCATCCCTCCAGAACTCGCGGGGCAAATCCGCGTCGTGGACATCGCCCTGCCCCGCTTGGAGCGCCTGCCGGAGGACGCCGAGGCGAGCATAGACCTCCCATCCGACGACCTCCGCCCGTACCTCCGCGTAGCATACGACGCCGCCTTCTCCGACAAGCTCTCGGCTATCCTGCAAGAGTCCGGACCGGAGCGGCCGGACTGGGTGGTCATCGACTACGCCGCGTACTGGGCGCCCGCGACCGCGGCGAGGCACGGCGTGCCGTGCGCGTTCCTGAGCCTGTTCGGCGCCGCGGCGCTCAGTTTCTATGGGCCCCCGGAGGGGCTCATGGGACGCGGCAAGTACGCCAGGACGAAGCCGGAGGACCTCACCGTGGTGCCCGATTACGTGCCGTTCCCGACCACTGTCGCGCACCGCGGCTTCGAGGCGCGCGAGCTGTTCAAGCCAGGCTTGGTCCCGGACGACTCCGGCGTGTCGGAGGGCCACCGGTTCGGCGTGTCCATCGGAGAAAGCCAGGTCGTAGGCATCCGGAGCAGAACTGAGCTTGAGTCGGAGTGGCTGCAGGTGCTTGACAAGCTCTACCAGAAGCCGGTGATCCCGGTCGGCCTGTTCCCTCCGCCGCCCACACAAGACATCGCTGGCCACGAGGCGTCTTTGCGGTGGCTGGACAGACAGGCTCGGGGCTCCGTCGTGTACGCGGCCTTCGGCAGCGAGGCCAAGCTGACGAGCGCGCAGCTCCAAACAATCGCGCTAGGTCTGGAGGCTTCCGGCCTGCCGTTCATCTGGGCGTTAAGGCCGCCAGCCGACGGCGACGCCGAACCCGGACAAGGCACAGGCGGGTTGCCGGAAGGCTTCGAGGAGCGTGTCAATGGCCGGGGATTGGTCTGCCGCGGCTGGGTGCCTCAACCCAGGCTGTTGGCCCATGAATCGGTTGGTGGGTTTCTGACCCATGCCGGCTGGAACTCCATCTCCGAAGGCCTCTCGCGGGGCGTCAGGATGGTGCTGCTGCCGCTGATGTTCGATCAGGGCCTCAACGCCAGGCTTCTTGTGGAGAAGAAGATCGGCATTGAGGTGGAGAGGGACGAAGACGACGGCACGTTCGCGCCCAAAGACATCGCGGATGCTCTGAGGACGGCCATGGTGGAGAACCAAGGCGGGACTAGGGTCAAGGAACTGGCCGAGGTGTTTGGAAATGATGAGGCGAATGATCAGTGCCTGCGAGATTTCCTCCGGTATCTGTCCGAATACAGCAGGCAGCATCAAGGGTAGTTCCATTCCATTTCGAGGCTAGTAATGTTGGTGCAGAAAAGGGCAAAGAAATGGAAGCGAGTCATGCTATCAAAAAAAGGGAATTGCTATTAAACAATATTCAACCTTAATAAAATATAAAATTTCCATTTACTTATTTACAATTTGCTACATACTCATAAATATCAATATTATTTCTGTTATTTAAAACAAATTTTGTACTAGTGTCCCACGACGAGAAGACATATGAAGTCAACAAAAATAAATAAAAAATTTAAAAGGGCGAGAAAGAAAAATAAAGGAAACAGAAATTTCGAAAGAAATTGTGAACAAAAAAATGGCCCAGAAGAAGGCCCCTGCGGGTGCCTTCTTTTTTTACGCCGTCGCTGCATAACGTGCATTCCCATTCCGTCCGCTGCATCCCCCTGCTCGGCTACTCGTGCGTTCTGTCTGCCTCTCTCGCCCCCTCTCGCTCTCCGACGACTCGTGGGCGGCCGCTGCCTCCGCCCTAAGCCAGGTGCTGAGGCTTTAGTTGGTTTCTTCGCCGGCGACGAGCACCCACCAGGTACACCCACCCCTTCAAGCTGAGCACCGAAACCCTAACCTGAAGCTATTTAGCTATTTGACAAGCCTCCTAACTTCGAAATTTTTGCAAAAATTATTGGGTGTACATGTGTACACCCATGCCCCTTTACTGGATCCACCCCTGTTAGCTATCATGATTTTATTTGAATATGGTATGGGGATTTTTCATTATGGTCTGTTCATGGTTCATGTTCTAACTTGTACCTTAATTTATCTGCAGCTTGAAGGGGCTGGCAAGATGATCAGTGTGGGGAAGGCGAAGCAGTACGCCAACGTCCTTGACAAGCCCCTCAGCCGTGGCAGGCAGGAGGTATGTGCTGTCTCTGCCTTGAACCATCGGATCTGTGCGAGCACTGCCTCCCTAGATTAGTCCTCGAGATGTTGATCTTTTTTTGCCATGTATCTCATCGCGCTGGGATGGCGATCCCTTCTAGTTCCTTGCTCCCACATAGGCTCCTCTAATAGGAAGGCAATAGGGGTGTAGCCTGTAATCTGTAGGCAAGTATTGCAGCCTGCGGGAGCAGTGGCGTGAGATGTAGTTGCATTTTCACGGACGTGTTTGATGGAATACTGTTGATCAGTTTTACTCAAGCAGTGGCAAGGTAGCTGACCCGCAGAGCCCGACTTATGTGAGAGACGCAAGAGATCTGTTAATTATGTGAATAGCATTAATTGTTGGGCCAGTCATAGATTTGTTACCTGAGAGATCTAGTTTAGAAATTGATCTGTATATCCCTCCTGCCATCCCAGTTTTTGAGTTTTTGACAATTGCCCAGAGAGTTCTTTCTTGCCGAAAGTCTGAAGCATTTGTTAGTTGCAGAAAAAAGGGGCCATGAAGCAGTTCTATCATCTCATTCTAGGTGCATAAACCATGCCATGGTGTGACCTGTCAGGTGGAAGAATGTTAGCAACACCTTCTTTTTTTTTCATTTTTCTGATATAAAAGAAGTTTCCGCATCTATATAGCCAGGGTATGGGGTCGTTGTTATCATCGTACTCCGGAAACAATAATTTGTACAAGTTTTGATTGGCGCGTTGGATTTACACCGTGGCTCCTGGTCCTTGGCATCAAATTTATTATTCCTTCCCATCCATCTGAGGTTGTTTCACTTTCCACCAGAAGCTGATCTATCTTAATTGTCTCCTTTGGTGATGTTACTCCCCTTTTTGGCTGTGGAACATAGATTGGAGGTGTTGGTTGGTTCGTGTTTCATCTACTGCTCGATTTCTGCGGCATATGCCAGTAGAGGCTTCATGTGTTCTTTGATCTTCTTCCTCCAGTTTGCCATTCGTTGTATTACTTGTATAGATCAGAATTGGGCCCCATTGCAGTGGAAATAGAGCTGGCTCGGCATACCAAATTGTCATGTGCTTAGTTGGGGGTTCGGCTAGGGCTGAGACGTAACCGTGTGGGTGAGATACATGCGAGGCGGCTGCTAGGTGCGGCCACTGGGAGAAGGGGGCGCGGGGACATGAGAAGGCTGAGGGGAATTACCCAAACTCAGCTTAACCTGATTATTCTCTCTGTATTTGTAGGGGCAACAAAATTGACTCCTTGATTCTTTATAGATAGAATCCATTCTAATTACAACTCAATCTGTCAAACCTAAACTTTATGATGCTGGGCCTGAGTGGTTCCACCCTTCTATTTCAACCAGCAACCTTAGATTTTTTCCTTTTTGTGGGAATATATTTTGCCGGCCATGACATTTTTTGTAGTATAAGGTTTACTGGTGATGGTCTTATTAACGGCCAGGCATTAAATGATTATTTCTTTATGGTGACGTTAATTAGTTCCTGGCAAATTTTGCAATGGAGAGGTCAAAGATATGATAAGCTTTTCTGATATGATTGGTGATCTCTAGGTTTTCTAGGAAGTTTGCTTTCTCTCATGGTCTTTTTCTTTACCATACAGGCTTATTGAGTATTTTGCCTTTTGTAGGTCAGTTTGAGTGCATTTGCATTCTTGTTCTCTGAGTTGGTTCAGTACAACCAGACTCAAGTTGACAATATTACTGAGCTGGAACGGAGGTATCTCTATTGTGTATTTATACTTGTCTGATATTGTTTGATGAATTTGTATTTAAGTTGATTGATTATTTTCTATCATGTGCCTTTGTTTATCTTGCCTTGATTGTTATGGGGATTGGGGACATGGGGTATAGCTCTTATTGAACATGCTACTAACTTATACCCAGATCAGATAAACTCTTTCAGTAGATTGATTTATAAATTCATCTGGGCTACACCTGTTTGTTTTATTTCATGCACAGGCTGGAGGATGCTGGTTATGCGGTTGGTGTAAGGGTGCTTGAACTACTCTGTCACAGGGAGAAGGTTTGTTACCTGTTTGTTTGCTTGGTTATATAACGATCATTATAAAATACTGTAACAATTATGATGCTCCATTTTTTCAAATAATATTTTTTAGTCATATTTCCTTTTACAAAAATAATTTTGCTTGGACAATTCTTTCTAGCTCAAAAATCCAATATATATCATATATGAGTATCCAAGCACTGGATTCAGCATAAAACATAGTTATGGATTTTCTTGGACTAATCAAATAATACCAAATGTAGGGTCACTGGCTCATTGCTTCAGCTCTTTGTTTTTTATTGAATTTTATAGAATAAAAGGTTTATTTGGTATAATATGTGCAATGATTTCAAGTACTCTACATTTTTTTTAAAGAAAACGTGATCTCCATGTTATTATATATATTCTTCTCGTTTTGAGGTAGTCATGTCTGGAAGATAATTAGATTGTTACTTCAGGGAAATAGACGAGAGACACGACTTCTGGGTATTTTATCATTCATCCACAGTACTGTTTGGAAAGTGTTGTTTGGAAAGGTATTATGTTCTGCCTGTGACTGTCTTTTCTGATTCATATCCATTCTCGCAGTTGGGTGATTACAATTTGTATTCATAAACTACCAATGATTCCTAGATTGTAAAAGTACAATGTCATGAACTAGATGACTGATGGACCCCCAAACTCAAGTGGCACGTGCTGCCCTGATGGCAGCTACACCACATCAAGAAGTCTATTGACTAAGTAAACTTTTTTAGTTTGTGCTTCTTTTTTATGACAATATTGAACTTACGTAGAGGCAATAAGCCTAAAAGCTGGAACTGTTCAAGAACATACCTATTTGTTCTGAGCTGTCACGTGGGCAACACATGTTCATATACTACAAAACATGTCAAAATCTCCTTGTACGGTCGTAGATGATAACTTATCCCTCGCTTTATAACTTGTCCTGAGCTGTAGTGATGGCAATGTCTGTAGCCAATTGTAGCCTCTGCTTGGTGCTTATACCACTTTGTGCAACCACTCATTGTGCCTCACTCCTTTGAAATATGCCCAATATCTGGTTCCCTTTCTAAATACCATGGTTTCAAAAGCGTTAGTAATATTCATTTAATTACCTGCCCGGTGGTGGCTATATGGCTTAACCGGACTGATCCTGCTGTTTAACCAGTGACCATATATTGACAATTAATCTTTATTAGGGAGGCCATTTTGGAACACTGCCAGGCATGCTCATTAGTACAAGCATCTTTAGGATAAGACTGAATTATTATGTTTAATAGGATATCTTGAATAATGCTTATAGTGCAGTAGCATGCAATGAGTACTCTTGGACTCATGTTAGAAGTTAATATGGGTGGTTGCATGTTTTCTAAACACCTGCAGGATAATAGTTTTACAGGGTTGATATTTCTCTCATGTCAGTTTGCTTAGGTTTGGTCTCCACATGTAAACCAACTTCTTATGGCTGTGTTACATAAGAATTTATACCTCTTAATAAGTTAATATGGTTGACAGTAAATGTTAATGTTATGGTGGGAAAGGTGTACCACCGCCGTAACAAGAAGAGTGGCTAAGGTAGTTGGGCGGGGGCATGCACCAAAGTGCGGCCACCAGGACCAGGCGTGGGAGCCGGGTTGGGCTCCAGCCGGTTCAATAGGAGTTAGTTATCAGGAGTGCTATTTTAGTTGGAGTTTGTTAAGTCAAGTTTGTTAACCCTTAGATTTAGGAGAGGTTTGTTATTGAGTTGGTATAAGTGTCAAACAATCTGAAGGAATAAAGATCAGCCTGGGATTGAGTTTATCTCACCTTGGGCCCTTGGGCGTTACTGTTCACGGTCCCCTGTTGCCACCGAGTTTCCAGCCAGGCGCCGAGCACGGCGCCGCCAGTTTGTCGCCAGGGTTTCAAGCCCAGGCCTCTCATCTCCCACTCCTACGCCCTCAGATCCTTAAGCTCCAACAGTTAACCTGTGATATTCTTGTTATCACTGGACTTTGTTCACACGATTGTTTGTTAATTCTCGTAGTTGCTTTATGTGCCAGGTGGCTGACTCACTTGAGAAGGGAACAGAACATGATGATGAATACATGATCAGTGAAAAGGAGCTTCTTGTTAACCGGTTTGTGAACTTTTCTGGAGTTCATAATGCATTTTCTTTTTCTACAAGTCTAAAGTTCGATACTCTTTCTGTTGGAACAGTTTCATTTCCGTGCCAAAAGACATGGGAGCATTCAACTGTGGAGCTTTTGTTGCGGGGATTGTAAAGGTGGAAATCCAGTACTAGTGACCACTGACCTTACCATTTTATTGGAGCAATATATCAATATTACTTTGTAACTTTTTGCAGGGTGTATTAGATAATGCTGGCTTTCCTGCCGTAGTTACTGCACATTTTGTGCCAATTGAAGGTCAGCAAAGGCCAAGGACGACAATCCTGATAAAGTTTGCTGAAGAGGTAGAAGATTTATGTTCTTTTACATCCTGGATCAGAAAAATGAATAGAAAATTATAGTATTGCTAATTTAGGAATTTAAATTATCTCTGTTGTTCTTATTGGTGACAATAATTATACAAATACCATGCATTATCATGAACTATGCTGTAAGTCAACCACTTGTCATGTCACTAACTTGAATTCAGGCCACAATCTAATATAGTAAACTTTTCATCCAATTAGACATAATTTAGAAGTCTAACATAATTTTTTCTTCTCTGTCAGGCATGTAGACTGCTATATTAAACTTTGACTTAGTTAACTCAAAATTATCATCTGTCTACAATAAGCTAATCTATGTTATACCTCCCTTGCTAAAGACGTTTGATTTCAACAGTAAAGAAGCATTCCATGCATACTTATTTGTCAATGGTCCAGAAATTTTATCACATGCATTTTGTAACTGCATCTGTTCGTTTGACTATACTATTGAATAAGCTGATTTAAATATATTCTTTTCAGGTTTTACACAGAGAAGCAAGACTGGGCTGAGGTTTATGTATGTACACAGAACCTTTGACTAGCCTATTTGTAAGGTGAATCGTTACTGGATAGTTTGGTGATTCATTGTATTTGATTTATGTATTAGAAGCGTAGCGTTTGGCGGTGTAACTTACTTTTTTTTCATGAGAATCAATTGCAAAAGCGATCTCAAACATGGCCAAAGTTAAGAGGCTAAGCTGATGATGGGTGCATCCCTGCATGCGTTTGTTGTTTTCAAAATTGATTTTGAACCACAACTTTTATAATAAAATATAGATACGGATGAATTATTAAAAAAACAAAACCACAAAGTATATTTTTATGAGCTTTCACATTTCAACATTTGTCTAGGAATAATAGATAGCATGAGTCTATACTTAAATCCACTAGCATGTATTCAGGTCTGTGCAATGTAGTTTGTTTGTGTTTGGTTGTCCATAAAAATTCTTATGTAGGTTTGCATAATGCTCAAAGCAGACTTGACGTTGTTGTAAAAAAAAAGGCAGACTTGACGTAACGTTAACTGTTACTTCCAATTTGGTAGACAATATATAAATTTGCACAAGCCGATAAGACAAATATAATATATTTTCACCGTTCTTACCCGTATTAACAATTTGAGACCTCTACTAGTCTAGTATGGAGGTGATTGCATACAATATAATGTAAGTAATGAAACATAACTTTAGGCCTCGTTCGTTTCTCAGGAACGGCCCGGAACGAGACCCAATCCGTCTGGTTCAGAACGACTGGAACAAAAACCTGGCCAACAAAGATTGCCGTTCGGTTAAGCTTGGCCTGGAATAGAATCCGACCAGTCTTGGACATTCTATGTGATCTACGGCCAGGTTTGCTTCCTCGTCTCTTGACATCCGGACCAAATCACCTGGATCTCACTTGATCCCCTCCTAGGACCATTCATGCTGCAGTTTCATTCCCAAGAAAACGAACAAGGCCTTATGAAACATCAGTTGGACTGTGCAAGACAACCAAGCACCAGAACAATACGTTTATACTAACTTAAATTATGCTTAAACAACTTTGTCAAGCATATCTAAATGGCATGGTCATCATCAGCATTCTCCTTAAACAACTTCTCTTTGGTGTTCTTCTGCCTCGGTTTCCAAACGGCAATAAGACCAGGTTGTTTTGCGTAGTTTGGAACTAGTATATGGCGCCCATGATCAGATCAGCATGGGTCAATGATCATCCGATGACTGAGCATATGTTGGCCTCTAGTGCTATTTACGGGTAAATTAATCCGTCAGCATTTTACTTTTCAGTTCAGCAGCACTCGTGAATAGCACAGAAAGTAAAATACTTTCCACCCCACGTCTCAAGCAAGCGCAAAACAATGGGCTGAAAACAGGGTGCGGGTCCAAAAAGAAAACCATGTGCAGAAAGTGGGGTTCTCTGCTGAGCAGGGAACTACTCGTAGTTCAATTCGAACCTATTAGTACTAATTTTAAACTGTTGGCCCTGGTGAATTAAAACATGCCCGAAGTCTGAAACCATGTAAAAGTGCTGAACCCGGAGCGGTGCAGAGCTTTTTAGCTTTACGATGAATTGGAGGAAGCGTACGGCTTTTATTGTCCAAAATCAGGAAGAATCGTGCGGCCTCTGTCACCATCAAACGGCCTGTTAGTTTTGGCTGAATTGGCTTATAAACCATGGCTGAAAGTACTGTTTGTTAGTTTGGTGTGAGAGAAAAACACTGTTTACGTCGTGGATTATAAACCAGATACGAGCGAATAAGCCAAAACGAACATGTTGAAAGATTGTTACTCCCTCCGTCCGGTAAAGACAGCAAACGGAGGGTGAGAGTGTTGTCCGTGAACAAATGCAAATAGAGGTGTGACAAGTGTATGAATATGATCCGAGTAGCTATCATTTGTCTCTTGATCCCACCATAAAAAAAAAATCTCCATCCTTGCCCTTAAAAAAAATCCTTTTGTCAGCATTTTCCTCACCACCACACTCGACCCTCCTCCACCGCCCGCAACTGCTTTGACCGCGCCGCCTCCCGTACCAGCGCGACAGGTCCGAGTCCAAATAAAAAAAATCCAAAAATCCAAAAGTCAAAAGGCTCATGCGCTCTCGCTGCCTGTGCGCCGTGCCTGGGCCAGCCGCTCGCCTCCCTTCTACTGCAGCCAGGTCCCACATCCGTCTACAAAAGGCTAATCCCTCTCGGCAGAAGCGCAACGCAAATCCAGACCCAGCGATCGCATCGCACTCGCACCACACTCAGGATCACAGGTCAGATCCCCGCGGCGGCCATGGCCGAGAACTTCCAGCTCCAGAGCCGGCACGGCAAGTCCCGCGTCCGCGTCTCCCGCGTCTGGCGCCGCCCGGCCGCGGCGGGGGGCCACGTCATCGTTGAGTGGAACGTCGCCGTCAGCATCGTCTCCGACTGCCGCCCCTCCTACATCTCCAGCGACAACTCCGCCATCGTCGCCACAGATTCCATCAAGAACACCGTACGTTCCAGTGTTCCACCAGTCTCTCTTTGCTTTCCTCCTTCCTCCGCCGCCCCAAAGCGGTTCTGGCGGCTTCTTGGCTGCTGATTTGGTACGCCTTCGCTTGTGCAGGTGTATGTCAAGGCGAAAGAGTGCACGGAAGTGGTGCCCATGGAGGAATTCGCCGTGATTCTTGGAAGGCATTTCACGTCGTTGTACCCTCAGGTATAGCGACTCGAGACTTGTTGTATCCGGGTTGCTTGCTTGCTTCTGAGGGGTCAAGATGGGATTCTTATGGATCTCTTCGTGCTGCCGTTTCGGGGCAGGTTTCAGAGGCCACGGTGACTATCGTGGAGCGCCCATGGGAGCGTGTGGCTGTCGACGGAAAGCCTCATTCGCACGGTGAGAAAGATTATCGGCTATCTTAGTCCTTGATTGTTTGAAGTAAAATGAGGAAGAGTCGTGAACGTTTCCTTGGTCCCTGCGGATAGTAGGATAGGATATACAGTATCCGCCAAACTTGGAGCTTTGCCTGCCTTCAAGGAAACTTTTCCTTGGCCCCCCATCCTCGTGTCTCTTGTCGAAATCTTCAATTGCCATTTGGCATCTTTCAATGTGAGACTGTTTATTACTCACTTCTGTAATTACTCCATACTCCTGTTCCAAGGAACAGCCTAGTATGGGCGGCCCCATGTGTGAGTGTCTGAGTGACATGAGGTATAGCAGTGATATCACAACTGACAAGTCACTAGCATGCACTTTATGCTCAACGCAATTTTTTTTTCTTTTCCATAACTTAGCGCTTGTTTAGTTGGAGTCCAAAATCCCAAAAAGTGCTACAGTACCTGTCACATCGAATGTTTACGGCTCATGCATGGAGCATTAAATGTAGACAAAAAAAAAACTAATTGCACAGTTTGGTGGGAAATTGCGAGACGAACGTTTTGAGTCTATTTAGTCCATATTTGAACAATAATTGCCAAATAAAAACGAAGGTGCTACAGTAGCCCCAAATTCCAAATTCATGGAACTAAACAAGGGCTTACATGGAAATACCTAACTCTAACTATCAACAACTTTTGTGGTTTAAACATTGTGACAGTGACGCCCTGTCCAGTTATGCATAATACACTCACACATCATTCAGTGCTCAAGATTCATTTAGCAGAGATTTGAAAGAATCCATGCTGAAGGCAACAGTTGCACACATATATTAGAAAACTTTGTTCCATCTCCAAATTTTCTGAACATTTGTTTGGTTAGTAATTGTGCCCCTTAATACTAAATATGAGAACATTCTGTTTTCAAGTAATATATTGACTTCCCAATTGTGTTACAGATTAGGAAAAAACTGACCCATTAGCCAGGAATCCAGGATCCCACAAATACCTGGATTCTTTCCAATTTGTATGCACTAGTATTTGTATATTTGTACATGGGGTGAAGAGTAAGCTGTTCATCTACTTCAAGAATCAATTTTATTTTACTACCCCCCAAAAGGGAGAAAAAAAACTGAAACCATCTTAATTTTGACCAAAAGTTTATATAAAAGATTGTCAACATTTATGACACCGAAATAGGCATAGTTTGAAAATATGTTCCATGATAAATCTAATGATGCTTATTTGGTAATATAAATGTTGGTATATATATATTTTTAAATTTGGTCAAATTTAAAATAGTTTGACTTAGGAGAAAACTAGAGTGATGTTTTTCGGACGGAGGTAGTACTATATAGCTGAATGACATTTATCCTAGTGACCTCCCATGTTTATTTACTTTTCAAATGCTGAATTTCACACAATGTCTGAGAGAACACTGCATATTGTACCACTGTTTATAGGGTTCAAAGTTGGTGTTGAGAAGCACAGCACAGAGGTCATTGTCAAAAAATCTGGAAGCCTGCTTATAAATTCTGGAATCCAAGGGTACTCGCTGCTAAAGACAACTCAGGTATTTCTTCAACTTTTTCTTTCGTGATAGTTGGGCCATCACTCTCCATGTTTATCACTTTATCTTAACTCTTCTGTTCTGGTCGAGATTGATTAGTTCTGTATAAACCAGTATGTTGGTGCATCCTAGCCTGCATAAGTTATGAACTATGTTGTGATAAGTTAGTAGATCTATAATAGCCGGTGTTCTCTTAGGCGCTAGGCACTAGTCAGGTGGAGGCCGGCGCCTGGGCTGTCAGTGTTCTGGCTGAGCTTGTTCCTTCTTTTTACCTCTTGGTTTGGTTGGTTGAGTTGTGAAAAGGTCCTTCAGAAGATGGGGGTTAAACCATGTCATGTTTCCAGTGATTTAATACGTTTCCTCAGGTTGCCACTTTGTTACCTGAAGCTTACTTGATAAAATTCTTAAATGAACTAGAGTTGTTTTTCTCCAGTATCACAGAAGTAAATTCTAAAATTTGACTGCTACTTCTCAGTCTGGGTTTGAAGGGTTTGTGACGGATCACTATACACTTCTTCCTGATACAAGGGAAAGGATAGTAGCAACAGAAGTAACTGCTTGGTGGAGGTAACTCTCTTCCCTTCTGAGTTCTTAGACCATCTTTCAATTTAAATTGTTCTATCTACATACAGTTGAGAAACAATGCTATTACAATGTTCTGGACAAGCCACTACTGTAGTTCAGATGTTGCGATTATCTTTTATTTTTGGGAATTCAAGCTGTTACAGTGAATTCCTATCAGCTGTAGTTCAGATGTTCTGGACAAGTCATGTATTCAGATGTCATAACTTTCTAATTTGCAAAATAGCAAGAAATGAGACAGGGATATCCAGTTATTTATGGGTCATGCTGTTTTGCGTGCACTTCCTTTTTCTGTATCCAGGTATCCTTTTGAACATGTTTCGCAGCTACCATCAAAGCCATTCTGCTTTACGCAAAGATATCAGGATGTAAAGAAAGTTCTTGCAGAGACATTCTTTGGTCCTGCTGATGTTGGTGTGTATAGTCCATCTGTACAGAATACACTATACCTCATGGCCAAGGAAGTTCTTACAAGGTTTGTAACTCTGATTTGGTTGTCTCTTGTTTTCACACCCCTTAAAATATGTACACAATTTTCTTTGATGAGTTGCACTGAATGCACATGTGCATTTTAAAGGTTCCCAGATATATCGTCAATTCAGCTTAGAATGCCGAACCTTCACTTTCTGCCTGTCAACTTGGGGAGCAAAGAAACTCCGTTGGTGAAGGTAAAACTTCCTCTACTGTATAAAATGTATGAGTTTTGTTGTTTCCTCTTTGCCTATTGAATTACTCTCCAGGATAGAATTGCACAGTGTCAAATGTAGTTTATATATACATTCTTGTGCTCTATTCCATGTTAAGCTTATTCGGAGTTTCTATATCTTATCCATGTAAACTGAGATATATTTTGTGTTTATCAGTTTGCTGATGATGTGTACCTGCCGACGGATGAACCACACGGAACCATTGAAGCAACTTTGAGCCGTCCCATGTCAAAGCTGTAAGAATGTAGTCATCAGGCTGGTAGCCTGGTATGAGAGACTCCTGTTTTGTCTCCCCAGCATTCCCAGGCCAAAATGAAAAATAAGCTGTAAGGAAAAGATAAACTATCATAAGTCATAACCCCTATGCTATATATGGGGGTAATAAGTGGACAGTCTTGTGTTGAAGTTGAATGTTGTCCGCTGTAGGCGTCCAGCTTGTGACGTTTCGCCGCTGTAAATGTGTACATTGCTTGTCTTGTATGGAAACCTGTTAACATCTTTGAAAGCTTGCTCAGTTTTACTTATCGTTTGTAGTCTCAACTCTTTAGTTACCAAGTTCAGTAAATATGATTACTTCTCCATATTTGTATTGTACTCTTCTCGAGAATGCCTTCATTCATTTTTACTCCAGCAGTACACCGTTGTTTTTCTTTAGAGGAAGGCTGAGTGTTTTTTTCCCCAACGGAATATGAAATTCCATTAAACCAATGTCACAGCGAGATCACTGGACACCAAGTCCTGGAGCACGTCCGGGGTGCCATCCCACACCAGACTAGTGTTCACAGTTGAAAGGGTCGAGATAACGACTAGAGGGGGGGTGAATAGTCATTTCTAAAATTAATCGCGTCGGCTAACCGATATAAATGCGGAATTAAAACAATCGGTCTAGCCAAGACTACACCTCTCTATATATGTTTACTAGCACCTTGCTAAGATACCAATTATGCAACAAAGGTGCCAGGCTATATAGAGCTCTCCTAAACAATTCTAAGTGCAAGGTTACACAAACCTATGCCACTAGTATTTTAAGCAACAAGAGAGCCCCTACACATGCTAGTAAGCAAAAGCACAAAGCTAACTATGCTCACTAGCAATGTTCAATAACAAGGCAACCAATGCCTAATTAGAGAGCGCGAGAACTTAGCTACACAAACTAAGCAATATGACTAATAAGGTTACTAAAACCAAATTAGCCACGCAAGGGAACTACTTCTATGCTACACAAGCAAGAAGGTAATTAGCAAGCTACACAAGCTATCTAATTACAAGAGCAACTACACAAGCTTAATATGTATAAAAGTAATTGCAAGCTTGTGTAATGGGGATGCAAACCAACGGGAAGAACAAGGTTGACACGATGATTTTTCTCCCGAGGTTCACGTGTTTGCCAACACTCTAGTCCCCGTTGTGTCGACCGCTCACTTGGTGGTTCGGCGGCTAATTAGCATCACCCGCTAAGCCCGCACGTCGGGCGCCGCAAGAACCTACCCCTTGAGTGAGGGTATCTCAATGACACACTTTACTAGAGTTGCTCTTCGCGGCTCCCACGGGGCGAGCACAATGCCCCTCACAAGCACTTCTCCGGAGCGCCGCACAAGCTTCTTGCGGGCTTCGACGGAGACCACCACCAAGCCGTCTAGGAGGTGGCAACCTCCAAGAGTAACAAGCACCACCGGCTTGCAACTCGATCACCTAGTGCCACTCGATGCAACCTCACGATGCAATCGCACTAGAATCGCTCACTCACACAATCGAAAGATCACTATCAAGTATATGTGTGATGGAGGGCTCCCAAGCACTCACAAGCATGGACACTAAGTCCCCTTAGGTGCTCAGCCCCAGCCATGGCCGAGGGCCACTTCTATTTATAGCCCCAAGGGCTAAACTAGCCGTTACCCCTTCACTGGGCAAATGTCGGGACGACCGGACGCTCCGGTCCGATCGACCAGAAGCTGGACCTCAGCGTCCGGTCGTGCGATGCACGCCACATGTCCCATCCTTCAAACGCTGTTCACTGGATCTCAACGATCATCTGTCGACCGGACGCTCCAGCATGAACTGACCGGACGCTGAGCCCCCAGCATCCGGCCGTTTCCAGTAAGATTCCAGAAACGACATTTCACGACCGGACGCGTCCGGTCGATCACGATCGGACGCAGCACCAGCGTCCGGTCACTCTCCAGCTTCTGCTCTGCCTGCGTCACCATACGTCAACTCTGACCGGACACAGGACCCCAGCGTCCGGTCACTACGTGACCAGCATCCGGTCCACTCTGTGAGACCCTGTCTTTTCTGTTTAGGCGCCCGGTGGCACCGTCGGACTGTCCGCACTCTACGGGCGGACACTCCACCGGTGGAGTTTCTCCTTTCGCCTCCATTTCTTCACCGAGTTGATCCACATCAACTCCAACTTCATCTCCTTTGTAAATGTGCCAACCTCACCAAGTGTACACCACCATGTGTATGTGTGTTAGCATTTTCACAATCATTTTTCAAAGGATTAGCCACTCAACTTGTCACGCCACTCAATCCTAGCAACGATGCAAAGTTAGATCACTAGAGTGGCACTAGATGACCGATATGCAAACAAGTTTGCCCCTCTTGATAGTACTGCCATCTATCCTAAACCCGGTCATAAACTTCTCTACACACCTATGACCGGTGAAATGAAATGCTCTAGGTTATACCTTTGCCTTGCGCATTCCATTCCATCTCCTCCAATGTCGATGCAACACATGCACCAACACGATCAACAATGATATGATCCACTTCATATCATCACGTGATCATATTGGTTCATCGATCTTGACTTCATTTGCTCTTCACCGTTGCCATCGTCCATCGGCGCCAAGTCTTACTTAAGCTTCACCGCCACGCGGTCCATCACTCCAAAGCCTCCGACTTGCCTTTCACGCTTTGCAACCGGTCCATCAAGCCAAGTCTTGTCTTGATCTTCTCCACCTTGATCACATGACTCAATGTCATGTCTCATGTGCAATGAGCTCCTTCATCATCACATGTGTGAGCTTTGCAACATCTCCAAGCCATTTACACCTTCATGGCATATGTTGCTCACACACATGTTCCTGTGGACTACCTGTGTATCTCACATAAACACAATTAGTCCACCTAGGTTGTTACTCAATTACAAAACCACACAAGGACCTTTCAATCTCCCCCTTTTTGATAATTGATGACAACTCTACAAAGATATAGAAATTAAGCTCTTTTGGATTCATGTTGCTTGCCCAAGCAATTTTACCATGTGTGAATGATTTTGGACAAGTACCACAAACCCAAAATGGTAGTATTAGCTCCCCCTACATATGTGCTAGAGTGTTTGATTTTAAGCTCGCACATATGCATAGATTGAAGATGTGGGAGAGTAATTACTACCGAATGATGCTAAGGTGTATAGAATAAACCTTTGAAGTGTGATACCAATCGGAGTTGCACCTTTAAGTTCATCCTTAGCACCATGGTTAGCTAGATATCACTTGGAAATAAAATCACTAGATACCTCATGAGATCAACATTAAAAGCAAGGTACTAGCATTACTTGAAGAACATACCAAGTGTCTAGCTATCATCCTATGCATGCTAGTTTTTATTTCATCAAACAAATTCTACAACTAGCATACACCATACAAGCATGCATATTGAATTTAAAAACTTATGCAATGCAAGCAAGCACATGAATATGCACATATCAAATGCAATCAATCAAAGTTCATGAGTTTGCTCCCCCTACTTGTGTGCATCTCTTGTCCAAGAATTTTGATCCATCTCTTTTCTTCAATGTTGCTCCTTCTTTGTCCATATTCATGTCCAACCTCTTAAGCTTTCATATCTTATCTCTCCCCTTACACACTTTATCTCTCCCCCTTATAAAGGCTTTCCTATCTTTGTACAATCTCTCCTCCTTTGTCATCAATTTCCATAAAAGGTGTGCTTCTCATTGATGCAAAGGTATGTATTCGGGGTAGATGGTTGAGGCTTGAATCTTTTATTTTTGATGGACATCACTTGATTGTTGGAATGACACTACTTGTAGATACCACTTGTAACTTGCACTACTTGTATCTTGTGTAGGGCTTCTTGATATACCACACATAGAATCTTTGATCTTGATATCAATTTATGTGACACCTCCCCCTATGTGATAGCATGGGTCATCCATTTGATACTCCTGAGCTCTTGTAGGTGAGGGATGCATTCTTCATTTTATGATCACTTAAAGTTGAGGATCACTTGTGGAACCATCGTCTTGCATGATTGACACCATACATAGATGTGATACTACTTGTATGAAGTGAATACCACTTGAAAGAATCTTCTAGTTTGGAACCACTTGTTGTATTTTTCGATAAAAACTATTTCTTGAACATTTACTATCTCTATGAGTACCACTTATAGGATATCACTTGTGGGTTGATCTAGACATCATTTGTAGATTCTTGATGAAATCCTTGAGTTTAGATACCACTTGAAACAAACAAACTAGATATCCATTTGCATTGTTGTCTTGTGCTTGTACTCTTATCACTATCATGAGCTTCTATGGTTGACTTGAACTAAATTGATTTGCCTAAGCTTTCAAGTCCGGTTTGAACCAATGACAAGCTTCTTCACACCTCTTGCAAGGGTTATCTTGCCAATGTTACACTTGTCACTTGTTAGCAATCCAAATTAGATCAAGTACTTGGGATCACTAGCTCATGAACAAATTCATATATTAACCACTAGATCAAGTAATAATTCAAGCAATAGTGGTAGGTTATGAATTTAAACATTTCATTTGTTATGCATGATCCTATGAAGCATGTACTATATGCACTAACCGCATACTAGTAAGGGATGAAATGATCATGCATATTACAATGATACCTTTGCTATGTTGGAGTAGAGGATAGTCACATAGATTCCAATTTATTACTCCAATAGCAATGTGAAGTCCAATTATAAGCTTGGTGAAGACCAATAGATACCATGTGGAATTTCATTCTTCACCCATATGAAAATGAATACCACTTATGATCAAGTGCACTTTCTTGTTGTGGTTGACTTGCTTCATCTTTTGATCAATGCTTGCATGAGAGCATCAAAGTGAGAGTACCACTTGAAATATCATGATTAGCTCCCTTTTTTTGTGTGTTGCTTGCTTTTCTTGATCGATCCTTTTGATTTACTTCAACTAAGCATCTCAAATGTCCCTCGGATCACCACTTCCATGTTAGCCTTCCAAGTATCACACTTGGTTTACCTACTCATAGGCGGCACGCCCCTACACTAGGGAGAAGTGACCTCTCTCTAAAGAACCATTCTTGATACTCACTTAAAATAGCTTGATTGATTGATCCAAGTGATGGACTTAACTTGATGAGTAACCTTGATTCCTTCTTTAAGTCCTTTTCTTTCTACTTGTTTAAGTCCTTTTCTTTCTATCAAATGATCTCC